TTTCCATTTTGTCCTTTTTTTTTAATCTTTTCTTTTATTTTGACTAGCAATAATCACGTGCCATGCACGTAGAATTAAATATTTGTTTTCCAAATATATTAGAAATGATATTTAAAAAACTAAAATGTGAATTTATCAAAACTTAAAAGGCAAAATAAGAAACATATATTTTCCTCCATAGATACATTTCTACCATTTGATTGTGATGTTTCATATTGAAGTTTGGATCACACTATATGCGGATATGCGGATGATAACACTTCTTTATGTATTGAATTAACTTGGTAGAAGGCAAAAATTATCATCTATAGTCCCATTTATATATAATATAGATTTTCTAAATCGAAAAAAAATTCGGTGCCTTTTTTCTCTTTAAAATAAAACTATGTTACAAATAGTGGATTTTTTTTAGTTAGTAGATAGTGGAAAAGAATTTGAAAGGAGTGACTATTGTGTAATAATTTTAAAATCAAAATATAACTATGATATGAAATTTAAGTTTGGTGTCTAGTCTCGAGTTTTAAAATTGACATGTTTTGTCTATAAAGTTTAAAAAATTATTTTAAATGGTTCTCGAGGTCAATTAACCATTAAGTTATCATCGTCATCCTGACTACTAGGTCCTTCGTTCCAAGGCGACCTTCGATTGGAATGACGAAGACGAAGGCCAATTTCCAATTCATTAAATTTGAAACACAACCTTATCTGAGACGATGAAGATTGAATGTGACCTTCATTTCAGATGTGGAAAGGGGTCTTCGAAGATCTCTTGGAAAAAAAAGAAAAGGAAAGCCAGAGAGAGGAGGTGGTGACCGTGTTGACAAGTTGTGAAGACACCCAAGCAGGAGAGGAGGGGAGGGAGAGTGGAAAGTAGATGCATCATTTTAAATAAATACCAACTCAAAACTCAAGAACTAAAAGTGTATGTTGCTTCGGTTTAAATGATGTGCTTGTCTTAAATGTTTACCCACAATTTTAATTTGGTTAAAAAATATGTTTACAGTTACATTGAAATATCAATTTAATCTTTAAATTTAAATGCATAATGACTTAGTTTTTTTGTTTTTTGAAGTTTTTAAAATATGTAATAATTTAGTACGTAATGATTTAACACCTTTTATATGTTAACATTTGTAACGATTTAGTCTTGAAAATCTCTCCAAGGTGTAAAGTCACTTCGACGTGATAGTTTGCATATTGAAGCTCACATACCTTGCTTAAGTGAGAGTATAGTGGTCAAATTATTGTTTAACCTTAGGTTTATAAAGTTTTCATTCGCGAAATCTATGTTTTAAATGATGCAAAATATATATTATAGAAACTTAGATTTATATTAATTACATTAATTTTATAAGCTTATTTTTTTTAGAATAATTTTATAAGTTTATGATTAGTAAAAATTAGTTTATTCTATAAAATGTGGGTTTATGCCACCTAGCTTTTTATAACATATAATATTAGCAANAAACTTAGGATAACAACCTTACCTATCAAATATAGGTTCAACTTCTTAACTTTGAGTATTATAAAACCGCTTATGCCTTATACAGCTAAAAACCCTTACCATTTTTTAGCTAATAGCTATGAGTAGAAATGATTAAAGTAATTTTATGGATGTCTCGTACAAGAGAATCTTAAAAAAAAACTTTTTTTCTTTTAATAGAACAAACTGGTATTTATCATTTGATAACACAGGGGTTCAGGCACATGATCTTTTGTTTTGATACGATCTTAAACATGTTTAAATTAACAAATCAAAAAAAAAAAAAACTTAGAATGATATAGGTTAGGATAAATTTAATTATTTATAAAATACTTAACAAAGAATACAATATTAACAAAAATATTTAACAATAATGTAAGTTGGCTAATCTAAAGTCATTATGAACTTTACTTAGTAGTTAAGGTGTACTCTCATTTTTCTCGAAGTAAGAAGTTTAAACCTTCACCCAAGAGAATGAAAAAATGAACTAATTTATTTCACACTTCTTGAAGCTTCTGTTCGAATATTTACATAATATTTACCTATTTTCATCAATCAATTTTAAGACTTTTTTTTTTCTCAAATATTTCAAAATTTAAAATTTATTTAAAAAATATTTCAAATATCAAACTAATTAAAAAATTAATGCATCTAAAATTATTCTCTCAAACCTCCACATATATGTGAGGTGGGGTGGCGTATGTCGTCTATTGGGTTTAGGAATAAAAATCCCCTGGACACAAGGTGGTGTCGTCATATAGACGAAAATGCAAAAATTTTAATTTTATGAAAATGTTGATAAAGTATCAACAATCAATGAATCATTTAGAAAAAAATCATGGAAAACAAATTCATTAAAGAATTTAAATCAATAAATAAGTATTTCAATAGGTTAAAAATTTTAATTATTAGTATTTATGTTTATATCAGTGGTCTTAGGTAAACACAATTTTTTTTATATATTTTTTTCTTGATATTTTTATAAAAACATTAATTAACCTCTTACTTCAAAAACTTCACCAGAAACTTCACCAGAGTTCATTCATCCTACCCTAAGATTTTCTTTATTAATGTTCTTTTAGATTCTAGATTTCAAAATTTAAACTTCTAATAAATAATACAAAATTAGGCTCTAGTTGAGACACGTTTTTCATCTCGACGAGATGGATGGATTTATTCGAGATGATTAACCACTTTTTTAAGTGTAAGAGGGAGGTCATTCAGAACCGGTGAAAGTTCCCCACGCTGACCTTGTAGAAGACGTCGAGAGTGTCTTGGGGAAGTGTGAATCCCCTTTTCTTAAGATATGTCCCAGAACAACCTTCCATCAATTACAAATTTGATCCAAAAACTTTAAATTTATGACTAATACCTCATTGAACTTTTAAATTTGTATCTAATTCTTGAACTTAGTGTGTAACAAGTCATTGAATTTTCCAAGGGCACGCACACTCGCCCCAAAGCCTAGATCCAAGAGACATCAAAGGTTTTTTATATTAAGCTCATCGAAAGATTCGAACTTGAGATCTCTAAGCCAGTATGAGCAAGAGAGCCCAAGTTGAACTTTCAATTCTATGTTCTTAAAAAAAAAAGAATTCTTATGTTTAATAAGTCCCAGATCTATATCTAACATTAAATATGACCTATTAGATACAAAATTAATAATAAGAAACCTAGTAGACGCAACTTTAAAAGCTTAAAAGACTAACCTTGTAATTCAGCCAACAAAATTATATATATATATTTGGACACAAAAGAAAAATTTTTGACATTGGGTTTTGTACAAAGCAACATTCCAATGACAAACACACTCACAGCTTCAAGGATACTTTATTCATTAAAACCCAAACCAAATCATTTAATAATTAGTAGACACTGTCAGTTGCAAAAAAACTGGACAGAGAACACACAAACTCATAAAAATAATCTAAGGCAAGGAAGAAAAAAAAGAATCAGCATACTATTTTATGTAAGATCATCCTCTTCCAACTCTTTGGCTTTCAGCTTTTCCTTCACCCTCAAGAGAAGAGTTGTCTTCAGTGGATCCTGTCAACAGTTTGTCCACATAAATCTTTGGAATTTTGTAACATTAAAATGAAAACACTACATTCAAATAATTAAAGGTCAGTTTGGTATTGAATCAAATGAATCTAGTGGTTTTTTTTGGTTTGGTGGGCTTATTTTTTAAAACAGTATTTGGGTTGTATTTGAATTTCCATGCCCTAGAAAGCGAAAATTTTGAAAACGATATTTACATGCTTCCAAGGTTTTCGGATTCTAAATTTGCTACCAGTAACATATTTAAAAATAATGAAAACAGGGGGTGGTAATTCTATTTTCCACTGGTTCTGTTATTTTCAAGTTCCTATTTTTGGATCACCAACCGAATACACCTTAAAACACCCTTACCGTCGCTTCAAAATGATCAAACTACCTTTCTCTAGATCTAGATCGAACTTAAACATCATGTTACTTTACAGCGTTCCTAAGAAACAATAATATCAAAATTAAGTATAATCTCACCAGTGTGGTCATGCTATCAAATTCCTTGACAACATCAGTAAATTTTGCAACGTCTTCCTCATCAAGAGCAGAAGCAATGTCCTGAGGAAAATATCAGACAGAATTAAAAATAATAATAATAATAAAATTTAAAAAGAAGATGAAACGCTGCCTAGTCAAGAAGCAAGCCAATATATGATAATGTCTTCCATCAATAAGCAAGCCGGAAAAGAAATGGGTAGAACCATCAAACTTCTTGTTCAAAATAATAAATACATAAAAAGGATTAAATATGTTCGTTTAAATTCTTGCAATCAAATCATGGCAATGTTTATATCCTTTTCCCAATTTATATTAATAGTTCATATGTTAGGCTTTGTGAATCGAATTAATATCTAATCTATCATCTTAAGCTCTTGAGTGTAGAGGTGACTTAACACTTCTTACTGTTATAATTTTATCAAATACGTAAAGGAAAGAATAATAAATCGGAATTCAGAAAGAGTGCAAATGTAAAAACACACCGCTAAAAGCTTGTATTCGCGAGACCCCGAAAAAGTAGGATCCAGATCCTGCAAAAGGGGAGTAATACATCAAACTGTTTTTTCCAGCATTTGGTTATGAGTCATGACAAAAATGGCTAGGAGATAGGAGAGTCGAGAAAAGACCTGATAGTTATCCAATGCTTTTGTAATAGCAACGATGTCGCCTTTGCAAAGCTGGCAAATTCCAGCGTTAAGAAGATGTCCTTTCGCTCCATACTTGAGCAAGTTATTCTTGAGAGAATACTTTGCTATCTCTTCATAGATATCGATCGCTTTCTGATATCTGAAAATTATAATAGGAATTTAAGTTATACCACCCCATTAAAGGTTAATACTAGTAAATTATGCCTACAATGTGAGCTTTCAGAAGAATGTAAAAACTAAAGACATATTCAGCAAATGGATTATAATGAAACCACCAAAGTAGAACAAAACTTGATAAAGTTTTAGAAATGCCAACTTTAAGGATGCAACACGATGATGATTCATCTACAATACACTTATTTTATAAAATATAAATAGATTGGTGGCAGACCCTGTAGAAGCAACAAGAACATTGACAGCGCAAGGATAAAAGACTGTTGTAAGAGCATATTATTTATTATTACTAAAGCATCTTACTGTTCCAACTGTGCAGCAAATTGTGCAACTTTCTGCTTGCACTGGTTTGCTGAAGTTGTCACTTCCTCATTTTGAAAAAGGTCCGCAGCCTTTTCAAAGTAATCGATTGCCCGCTCAACATCCTGTTCGTTCTCATACAATTCAGCAATTTCCTGCACGCATGAGAAGGTAAATCAAAGTCATGAATTGAACATGAGGTATTTGTTTAATTCTCTGGCAATCATATGATGAAAGAATTTTGCTGAAGTAACTGCCAAAATTTTATGACAAGTACATTCTAAAAGGACCTAATGTATGATACCTCATAAAAACTTCTAATAAAACCAGCCTCAAAAATAGGACCCAAAAGAAAAGAAAAATCAAATGCAGAACATTTTCTTGTGAAGTAACCAACCATTTTAGATGATCAAAGAAATCAAACAATAACCATTTCATGTGGCAGAATAAGATTGTACCTTATAATATCTTGCAGCCATATTGAGTCTTCCAATGTCACAAAAAAGATTCACTGCTTGCTCTATGCAAGATATGGCCTCTGCATCAATAAAAATAAGGGGAAAAACCCCCATAAAATAACATCATACTTGGAATTAAAATTGCCTCGCTCATACAATTCACGTTAAATTCACATTAAACTATCATAATATAATTTCATATACCTCAAGTCCACAATGTAATAATGGTCGGGGTAAACTAGATATACAACACCAGAACTACCTTTAACAGATGTTTTCTTGTAGCAATTGCCCGCATCAACATAAGCTTGGGCTGCTTCGTGTTTACTTTCCATCTTTATAGAAAAAAAAAACAACGCAATTTTCAGTAATAGAAACAGTTCAAAATAAAAGAATATGATAGAGCCATTGATCTCACAGACACGAAGCACCGACCTTCAGATGACAATTTGCCAACTTTATATACGTTGATCCAGCTTTATCCCCTGGAAAACCACACCCACAGACATTAACCAAGCCAATGGATGGAAGTGAACTAACAACTAAATCATCATCTCCTTTAATGATTGTATTGTAGTGTATCGTTTTATGTACATAACAACATAAAGCAATATACACACAAACAATAACGCAACTGATATCAAGAGGCGATAGCCAATTGAGACAGCAGCCACAAAGCATAAAACAATGCCGATCAATCAAAAGTTAAAACCACGGAGCTCTTGATTTCCAAGTAAAAACTCTCACATTAACCAAAACAAACGCCAACTTATCAAGAACGAGGAAAATCATATCGCAAAAGAACCGAAAAGCAACAAAACAGAAGCAGCCAGCCACAATTAAATTACTATTCAAAGGCCAAAATGCAACAGAACGTGAAAAATAACGATCAAACAGAGGTAAAGAGATAATTAGACAATGAGAAAGCGATTAGAAGTACATGATTTGGAAAGCTTGTAAGAATTGGCCGCTTTATCGAAGAGATCTGCGGCATCGTCGTACTTGGAACCGAACAATCCCCAGCCGCTGAGCTTCTTTTCTGCTTTGGCTTCGAAATCATCGGCCCTGGCCAAATGATCCGCCATGGACGAATGAGAATCGGAGAATGGGAGAAAAAAGAAGATGGAGATTATGAGATGAGTTCTGGTTCTTCTGGCATTGGTCAAATTTCTCTTGGAAGGGAATTTTTTTTTTCTTTCTCCCTCTGAAACTGATTTTGTTCGGTCGGTGAGGGAGTACGCGGTGGCGTTCCGCTGCTTCCGAAGTTGTCAGAGGGAACTTTTTTTTGGGCCGAATGTGAAATCTTAAAAACAGCCCAACTCAATTTTCAATGGGCTGGCCCTTCACAAATTACATAGACCATTTCTCAAGTAGGTAATTGTTGCACCCTTCAACTATAGATTGGAAAAATTAAACTATTAAATTTTTATAAATGAAAAATTTAGATCCTTCAACTTTCAATAGTGAAATTTAAACACTTAAACTTTATCGATAATAAAATTCAACCCACTAAATTTTCAATTCTAAAAAATAAACCTTACAACTTAAAAAAATTCAATCTATTTAAAAAATTAAACTCGTGAAAATATTTTCAGTTCGGCTCCATTAATGTTATGGGGGCTTCTTCAACCTTTTATGCAAATTTTGGAATTTTACGCTCTTCCTTATTTCCAACTCCAAATGTCAAAGATCATTTATGGCAACAAAATCCCTATTCGTCACCAAAACCAGCGTCGTCAATACAGAAAATTCTTGTAGTGATTTTTAGCGACGAAATTTAACTCGTCACCATAGGATACTTTTGGCGACGAAATATGACGACAAATTTTAACTCATTGTCAAAAGTTTCGTAAAAAGAAATTCAGATTAGATGAAACTTTTGACGACAAGTAGAGAATTTGTCAGTTTAAAGAGAGAATTTTGACAAAAATTTTAGAGGGAGAAAAGTTAGACAGGAACACACAGAGAAATTTTAAAGAGTGAGAGACAAAAATTTTAAACAAAGAAATAAACTTAGAAAATAGATGACTAAAAATTTATGATGAAATTACAAAAATTTTAGAGGAAAAATCTGAGAAAATAAAGAAAATTAGAGATAAATAAAGTTTGAGAGTGACCACAAAAGATTGAAGAGAGAAAAAAAAATTTCAAAATTGAGGGTGAAAATAAGGTGAATGGAAAGACAATTTTGAAAATTAAAACAATATTATTTTTTTTTTGTTGTAAAAAATCACTTGGAAAATCACGTCCAATTGATTGACCAGAAATCACTTAAGAATTTTTACCGAACATTCTATTTTAAAATTGAAGTGATTTTTGGATGAGTAAACAGTGAATCTAACAATGTCAAAATCACTCCTAAACATACACTAAGAAACATTTCTAGCTAGTTCACAAAGTTGTGGTATGTTTCTTCAAATCTTTGGTTCATCAACTTATCAATTTCCGCAACAGGTATGTATTTTTCTAGTTTGTTTTTCCCAAAATCTAATAATGGTCTTTTATTCATTTTAAAGCATGTTTGTTACCATGATAAATGTATCTTCTTTAATTAATGTAGCTACTATTTCTTTACCTTTTTGTATAGAAAGGGGATACATTGAATTGGTGAGGAGCTCCCCATTCCTTTGAAGTATTTCAGTTCTTGCAATTAATCTCCTATTTTCTCTTAATTGTGTTCAAAAGATAAAGGGATATATATAACCCATTGTCTTTCTTAGATGCCCAAGTGATCAAGTTGTTGTCAAAGTACAAAATCCGACGTAGATTTGCAACATCAGCATGGGTTTGAAGATTCATGTCTCTCGACTTAGTCATAAGAAGACCGTGATCCAACGTCCCTCTGAGATACCATAAGAGGCGTTTGACAGTCTGCCAGTGTACCAACTTAGGTGCATGCATGAATTGACATACATTATTGACACTTTAAGCTATCTCTGGTCTAGTTATTGTGACATATTGCAAGGCCCCACCGATGCTCCAATATAAGTGTACGTTTGCAAATAATTCTCCCTGAAAAGTAGAAAGAACTGAGCCACTCACCATGGGTGTTTGAATTGATTAGCAGCAAGCATTTTCGTTCGGACTAACAGATCATTGATATACTTGGATTGTGAAAGAGAAATACTACTAGTAGATGGATACGAGACCTCAATGCCAAGAAAATAGCTCAACTTACCAAGATCCTTTAGAGAAAACTTATTATGTAATAGGCCAATCAAAACATCAACATCAGAAGAAGAGCTTCTAGTGATTACAATGTCATCGACATACAACAAAATATAGCAAATTTGACCATTGGAGTGTCGTACCAAAGAGGAACCAACCTTTGAATTTCAAAATTCTAAAGTATGCAGAAAATTACTAAGATGATCGAACCATGCTTGAGGAGCATGTCTAAGGCCATAAAGAGCCTTCTAGAATTTGCACACCAAAAGGAACATCTCCTTTAACAATCATACCGAATGGTTGAGACATATATACGTCTTCTCTGAGCAATCCATGAAGGAAAGTATTATTTATATCAACTTGGCGCACGAACCATCCATAATTGAGAGCAAGAGTAAGTATAATCCATATGGTAGTTGCTTTACAACTGAACTAAATGTCTCTACATAATCGAGGTCAGCCTCTTGATGAAAACCCCTAACAACCAATCGTGCTTTGTATCGAGAGATAACCATCCGAGTTTCTTTTGATCTTAAAGATACATTTACATCAAATGATTTTCTATCAGTGGGTCGAAAGACTAGGTGCCAAGTATTGTTTTTAAGAAGAGTAGAGTATTCATCATTCATAGCCTTAATCCAATGAAAACAGCTAAGAGCCTCTTTAACAGTAGGAGGTTTGGTCTCAATATAATTTGTGTGAAATACTATCGAAACAAAAGAAAATACTTAGGTGATGACATGTGATAACTTTATTGAAATAAAATAAGCATGAAATACATGAAGTATTCCTAATTTAATTAATTTTATAACACAAATAAAAAGGAAAAAAAAACAATACCACTAATAGTTAAAAAAAATACAATAATAAACAAACAAAATTAAGATGTATCAATAGACACTTCTTCAATAAATAAATATACATACATATATATAATGCAAAATATATTACCTCTTACTTGATAATTGTAACTAGCTTCAATATATAATTTATATTATAGATTGACTCGTGCATGTTCTCTTAATATATCACACCTCTTTAATTACTTTTAGGATTACGTAAACTTAAAAAAATCGAACTCATAACTATACATTGATATTTTAAAGTAGATATATTCACTCTTAATAATTGCTTGACAAACATAATCTCATATATTTGATACATACATCCCTTACAACTTGATGAATATACCACCCACATCTTGAAATATTATTAAGATTGGATAATCTTTTAGAGTAATATTTTGAAAGAACTAAAAATAAAGAAACAATAAAACTCTAAGTGGTGTGGAAAAAAAATGGTGGAAGAAATTTTTTTTTCTTTTATTGGAGTAGAGGATAAAAAATTACAAAACTTTTGAAATTTTGAATTACAACTAAAGAAAAACTAATTTTATGCGGTTGAAAAACTTTTACATTCTAATCTTTTAGATCACGTACATAATAATTAAATAATATTTATAATAAATTATTATTATTATTATTATTATTATTATTATTAAAATTTTAATTTTATACGGTAGAAAAGGTTCTACATCTTTAACATTTAAATCATATATATTTATTAGTATTAATAATTGACAATTAACAATTAATTTAATATTTATAATAAATTATTTATGACATAATTTGTAGATTAGTAAATTAGAGAAGAAACAAAAATATCTCTATATCCTCGATTTTTAATAAATTATAGATATAGATTATAACGTCAGCTTTGGAATTCAATGACAACAATCTTTTGCTGTCATCACCCTAATTTCCAAGTCTCTTGACCTCATCATTTTCCTAAAATAATTTCCTTCTGTCATTCTTTTATTTTTTCCTTAATATTTCTTTTCTATCTTAATATTCCTTTCAAATGGTCCTATACACCTTGTAACTTGATTTCATTTTAATTATTACTTTCCCTACTTCTTTTCTTTGAATTATTTCCTTTACTTGCAATCGATTCTTTGCGCTTATTTCCTTGAGAGGATTGTTTACAAAGTAGCTTGTTGAATCTATAAAATGAATATTTTCTTTTTTCTACGAACTTATCTTCAACCATTAAATGTTTGAGGAGAAAGAAATGTAAAAATAGATAATTTTTTTAAAAATAATAAACTACCAATTTTCTAATAATAATAAATATAGATAGATTCTCACCCTTCAATATCTAAATATTTTTCTAAAAGAGAAAAAGAACTAATGGTAGAAAGGAAATTCTTGGGAGTGAGGATCTATCTTTATGCCCATTACTATGGAAGAGTTTATTATTTAATTTTTTTTTTGTCATTTCTATCTCATATTTTGTTAAACGTAATGATGATGAGTACAAGATAAATTCTTTCGAACTCAGACTATTTTCCGAAATATAATAGCCTTGATCTCTCTTCCATTATAAAGCACCTGTGGCCATCGCGATTTGAAGCATGGTTTGGTCTCCATCAACTACTGTTTCTGTGGAGTTCTCTTTCATATTTTTTCTTCTTAATTTTCTCTAAGCTGTTGCGTGGTGTTTGTGTCTGTAAATGGCCAAGTCCAAAGATCAGACCCAAGATGGGACTGTGGACCTCCGTGGCCACCCTGTCCTTGCTTCCAAGACTGGCAAATGGAAGGCTTGTGCTTTTCTAGTTGGTAAGCTTCTTCTTACACAACACATCTCGAAAATACTTGTCTACACACTCGCTTGCTTTAGTAAGAATTCCTACTTTTGAGCTCGTACGAGCTCTAACTAGTTATAACCTCTCGCTGGCCACTATTATATTTTTTACAAGAGAAGAATTTAGAAAAAGGAGAGAAGATACGGGTTCTAGTTACAACCTCTCGCTCACCACTATTATATTTTGTACCAGAGAGGAATTTAGAAAAAGGAGAGAAGTTATTTTTTTCTTTTCAAAAGATAAATAGGCGTTGAATTTTTTTAGTGTTGGGCAGGAAGAATATTCCTACGGATGGAGGTCTTGATTTACTTTAAACTTCCCCTAAAAGTTCTTGTGTGTTAATAGAGACATGTTGTCGTTGCTTATATCAATCTTCTCCTCTTCTAGATGTGGGACATTGTTCTTATTCCCAGCAG